TATGTTTCCCACGGAAGCCGTAGGAGGATTGCTGTGGACTCGTGACTGCTGGATTGCACCGTACCACAATTCATGCTTTACGAAAATGGGAAAAAGCACAAATCTTTCCTTTTTATGCGAGGCTGATTTACAAGTTGCTTTCAATAGTCATCTCGAAAAAGGCATAAAGTACACAAACAGGAATGCGTCTCTTTTTGATGCATGCGTATGTATGTGTCAGTACCCACATACTCACAGCCTAAAGCCACACAGACCCATTGGGAAATATAACGATAATTTGAGTCCCACTTTGTCCAACTGACTACTGACAGGTATTCGGAAAGAGTGGACTTCGATACTACCAGTAGATATTGGATTAAAGCTATAACTAGCACAAGATAAGAATATATAGCTTATATTTGCCCTTGGAATATACTATTATATTTATTTTTTATTTATACGTAGGTCTTCGATACTGTCAGTAGACAATATATATGGTCAACTGGTAGTATGTAAAGCCTACTGATAAGTGAAATATAAGTAACGTAATTGATTACTGTAGTAAATACAACCTTGCTTCATCGACATTCCCACTACAGAGTGTGATATGGGAAAAGAGGTCTGGCCTCTCGTAAAATTCACATCTGTTCTGGGACCCAAGGGCATTTGTGGTAGTGTGACGAAGTGGTTAACGTGTCGAGATTATATGCTGCACTACTAAAATTCGAGTTAGAGTCCCGCTATGGATGTTAAGGAGACCAGTTGAGGCGGGGTCGAAACTGCTTTCCAGCCCAGTCGGGATGAGGGTAACTTTTGGGAAGAAGGGCTATGTGAAATTCAATGGAACCGTAAGGTGGGAAAATTCAGCTACCAGTCCCCTCATCACTTTAAACTAAATAGGGTAAATGCATCTCATACATTTTATTTATATTCGATGTAAGCATGCTTCGAAACTACCGCCAGGTCCTGAATAAGAACATTAATCAACGAATACTACTTCTGCCACAAGTAATGTTATAACTTCCAAACACTTGATAGCATGACATTCAAGCATCTGTCACCAAAGTTAATATCGCGTCAAAAATGAACAATTAAAAGAAGTTCTAATCACTCTTTTTCGCACAGAGTGACCAAGGGCTGATAGTCAAATACAAATAAACTATAGATAGTAGCGAAGGTATGAAGAACAAGATGGTGTGGTCTTTTGTGTGGTCGCAGTCTCCTTTCGTTGGATAGAAGTTGTTTGACCTTGTTTTCGCAACATGCTCATATTGGTAGGAGGACTTAGAGCAACGTATCTAGTCCGGAGTCCATTCTATGCATCATCACTTCCAAATTAGGACCGTTGACATGGTACATTCCCAAATGTTTCGCCGGGCTACGAAAACCCTTTGAGCCGCCTTCTCAAACGAAATGAAAGGTACGCCGGTATCGAACTATTCAGGGATTCTTCGGAGCCCAGCTACTCTAAAGA